TTCCCCCAGGTCAGTTAGGCTCTGTACCACCTCAGCAGGTAAACTAACCTGCTCTGTCTGGTTAACTCCCTTAGGCTCTGGTTAACTAACAGTCACCTTAACTTTTCCTGCAAGATGTTTCCTTTTATGGCCCACTCCTTGTGACCTGTGGTAAGAGAGTGGAGAAAGGCAGCATGGAAATCTGAATGAGAGATCAATTCAGCTTCTGCTGCTCATCTTTCATAGAGCGACTCAGCACTAGCCAGACTGGCTGGTTCCGTTTAAAGTCTTCTCCCTCCTCCTCTTCTTTCCTAGTAGAAGTTTATGCCTAGAAAGATGTGCCTACAGGCCTGAACAAGGAGAAAAGCAGCCAAAAAAGAGAGACTATTTAATACAAACCCCATAACCAGTCCTGAGGTTGCAGTATTTGACTTAAGATAGAAACATGAAGAAACTGAAGGAGGCAATTAAGGGAGAGACGTGTGTAGCTAAGAACAGCTTGTGGGAACTTGTGATGCCCTTTCTCTTCCATCCGCACAGTGCAGCTTTACCCTCATGGTTGCATCTACTCTACTATTGTTTTGTTGTGTGGTTTGTGATGTTGCAAAATCGTTTGTCCTTGCTATGAAGTCAGTTTGCAATAACTGCGTTTCCATGGGGAAGTAAGTGTGGCCTTAAAAAAATGTCTGTCCTATTACATAATAATTTTTATGTCTCTGGTTTCAGTTCCCCAAGAAGAATGAGTGATGTAAATATGTACATCTCTCTTGAAATCAACACAGGAGGGAAAGCGCTTGCCATGTCTGTTAGCTATTGCTGAATACAAACCACTCCCCAAATGCAGTGTCTTGCCATTTGTCAGTAGTCTCTGGGTGAGCGCAGTGGTTTGGGCCACACGAGGCTTCTTTCAGCCGGTCTTGGTTAGCCTGCATTTGCCCAGGCACCGCCATTCGGCTGCTGAGTCAGCCTTGGGGCGGGGGCGGGGGCAGCTTCTCTAAGATGGGCTCAGCTACTGCAGCTTGATTCTGCTCCATGTGGAACCTCATCCTTCCGTGGTCTAGCCTGGGTGTGTGCACCTGGCAGCTGAGCAAGTTTCTGAGAGGTAGAACAGATGTGCACAGGCCACTTGTTGAGACCTAGGCTTGACACTGACATGGCGTCCCTTCCACTGCCTATTAGCCACAGTTTATTGGCCACAACAAGTCCCTCTTGGTGAGAAGAGCTACGAAGTCACGTGGCAAAGGGTGAGGATACAGGAAGGGATAGAAAATTGTGTCCATTTGGGCAGCCTTTCGCAATGTGTAGGGAAGACAATCAGATCTTCATGACATCCTCAATTTTTTTTTTAAAGATTTTATTTATTTATTTGACAGAGAGAGACACAGCGACAGAGGGAACACAAGCAGAGGGAGTGGGAGAGCGAGAGAGAGAAGCAGGCTTCCCGCCGAGCAGGGAGCCCCATGTGGGGCTCGATCCCAGGACCCTGGGATCATGACCTGAGCCGAAGGCAGACGCTTAACGACTGAGCCACCCAGGCGCCCCGACATCCTCAATTTTTGAATAGCCCTTGGAGTAGACTTTTATTATCTCTTCCCTCTTCTTTGGGCAACCGTACCTCTCTTCATTTAAGGAAACGGTTTCTCTCTCGCGAAGTCACGTGGTTTGAATGGGCTGACCCTACCTCCCTGCCCGTGATTAGTCTGAAGGAGGACCTGACCCAAGAGGGGGGGTGCATCCCGCGGCAGGGATGGGTCCCAAGTTACCAACACAAGATAACCATTGGGCACTCGATGAATATTTTCCAAGATTTTTTTTTTCTCACAGTTACTAGGAGAGGCCCTTTCCCTATCTGATGGAAAACATGAGCATTCATTATCCCAGCCTTGTGGAGAAGCTACAGTATAAAATGAAGCTGTCACAGAGTCACTGGACTGTCTCCCACCATTGTCTTTCTGCTCTTTGGCAACAGGAACCAAGAGGCTCACTTCAGCACAGGTGGTTCCAATTGTGTTTCTGTCGCTTGTAACCAGAGGAACCCTAATTGAAAGAGCCCCAAAACGGAAGACTTCAAACAGAAAAGGCCATGCTCGTACTTTCTGGGGGACTCACTAAACTAGTTTCATGAATCACTCTTCCTTTTTGCATACAGAGCAGAAGTTGCAAGTGCCATGCCTGGGGGAAACCACAGGTAAATGAAGATGACAAAGGTAAGTATCCCGTCCCACCCCCAGGAACTCTGAGCGCCAGTTGGTCCCACCCCTTGGCCCTCCAGGCCTTAACTATTGGCCATGAGGACCAGTCAGAGCTCCAAGCATGGGTCCTCTGGGATCCCAGATTCTCTTTGATTCTCTCTCATTTCTATCTTCCTGAAGATGGTAGTTCCTCGTTTAAGTTATTATGTCTGGACTCTGTCAACATCTACTTCCTGCTCATTTAGCTTTCCAATATTTACCGAGTTCTGTGTATTAAATTCCTTTGGTCTGAAATAATTAACATGGCTTCTGTTTTCTTGACTCAACCCTGACTGGTAACAGTCATTAGAACCAAAAGTTTACTTTGTCTGCTAGAATTTCTTTTTCTGAAATTATAATGTGAAAAATAATTTCTTCAAATGCCAAGATCCTTGCTGCAAGAAATAGTTACCAAACAGCCACAAAAAGCTCTCCTGTAAAACAGTTATGATTGTTCTGTTACTTAAATCAAAACCCTCATGATTCATAAAAAGACTAGACCTGGGGGTGCCTGGCTGGCTCAGTGGGTTAAGTGTCTGCCTTTGGCTCAGGTCATGATCTCAGGGTCCTGGGATTGAGCCCCTAGTCAGGCTCCCTGCTCAGGAGAGAGTCTGCTTCTCCCTCTCCCTCTACTGCTCCCCCTGCTTGTGTACTCACTCTCTCTCTCTGTCAAAAAAATAATAAAAATCTTTAAAAATAAAAGACTAGACCTGAAGTATCTGTCATAAGTGGCATTTATATCCCTAAATCTCTCTTCACTCTTTTTGAATCTATTTCTAAACAGGCCAACCAAAGTCAACACTTAGGAACCCACATTCTAAGGAATGTTCTGACAATTATACCAGTGGTTTTGGGTCTGGATTTAAGATGACCTAGTAAGTATTTAAAATTTTTTTAAATATGTATTTAAAAATACTTAAATATTAAGTATTGAAGTATTTTAAATCAATTTGAAATGAATTATTTTTTATTTAAAATTTAATAAGTATTTATAAGCTAGCTCCATTTGTGGGAAGGATACAGTAATTACTCATACTAGAATAGGAGCCTTCATTTTAGGGCAAAATTCACCCGAGGAGATTGTGAGAAGTTTAGATATACAAACACGTGTTTCTAAAAAATGGAATTATGTTATTTTTCCCCCTAGAAACACCTACACCAAACTAATAATTATGTCTGTTTCTTGGGTATAGGAATTATTTTATTACTGTCTTCTCTTTTTATGATTGGTACATATTACTTTTCTTATAATGAAAAACATATTTTAAAGTTCCTCCAGGGCAAATTTAAAAGACTTGAATTTTAAACCTAGGATTTATATTCTATTTTTAAGGAAAAGGCCTAATGCATGCCTTTTCCGTAATTATCTACTGAGCACCTATGGGGTGCCAGCATTGTAGTAAGAGAACCCCAAAGTAAAATTCCTACCCCAAGGGAACTAAATCAACGAGGTTCATAGGTGTCTTTACAGTATACTAGTAACTAACACATGATGGACCCCTAATAAACGTTCGTTGAATGAATATGTGAATTTTCCATCAAAAGTATTTATTTATTCAAACTCTCATTTCACAGAGGATTAGCCTTGTTCTGTTCATTCATCATAAATGTATCATACTTTAACACTTCCAAGACACATATTGCTCACCTTTCAACAACTCTGCAATCAGAATGAGACTTCCTAGCAATGTGATTTTTAAAGTATTGTTTCATAGACAATTTGCAGCATTTTCTTTTATAGTGATAAATAAAGTAACACTATGTTTTACACTGATGACATCTTTGAATGAAATACAATATATATTATATTTTCTATATTTTAGAAAATACATATGAATATTTAGGCATGTTTCCACTAGGGTTCAATCAGAAAAAGTTTTCATGGAGCCACACCATTCAATGAACATTCGAGCCTCCAGTGATCATATGAAATCCACAACTACTAATGTATAAATGTCAAAAACAATAGCTGACAAGTAACTTTATAAAAACTTGCATATTTATGAGGGTTTATTTCTCAAATTTTCAAGATTACTATTGAATGTTAATCATGTATCTCCTATTTTGGACTTAATGCAAGGCATAAGTATACATAAAAATTATGGGCATATCTAATCATTTATGTACTTAAAGGATTTTTGTATTTTAGTGTTTGAATTTAACCAAGATTTCAAAGGTCTAAGAAATATGAAAATGACTAAACTATATAGGAACAACTGAGAAGTGATAAAATAAACACTAATAAAAACTTATAGGAGAGATGAAATTAACCAAAATCAAAATGAAATGTTATGACAAAGACAGGCAAAGAACACAAGAAGGAGGAGGGGGAGGGGGAGGAGGGGGAGAAGAAGAGGAGGACAAGGAAGAAGAAAAATTAATAATGAGAAAAAGAAAAAAATGTCACCAGGCTAAGAAAATGTGACTCATCAGCAAAGTATAACCTACACTAACTGCATATAAAGGCATCCCTCTGAGCACTGCATACACGTTAAAGACATCAAATAAATACAGAAGTATATTTTATTAATAATTATTGACATCCATTAGTTCTGTGAATGTTATACCAGGTACATCAGGTTTAATCAAATAGTCCTTTTGTTATCTCTTAGCCTTTCTCTTTTCTTCCATATTTTCTCACACAGGTCTTAGCCAATGTGGAAGTTGGAAGAGGACAGGAAGGAAAAAAGGAAAGCCATCCTTTCAATCAGAGGATGATCTTGTCCATCCCTCACTCGCTCATCCTGTGATTGCCAAGCCTCCCAGATAACGGCACTGGAGGACTTTGAGAGCTGCAGTTACCTGCTCTTCCCTCCCCACACTTCCTTCTTTCCTGGGATCAGGAACATAGAGTCCGGAAGTACACAGGCCTTCCACTTTTCCATCTGGGCACAACCTCACCCCCTGCTTCTGACAATTCAAACCTCAGCACGCCTGCCCACTGATCATAATGCCCACCTCCAGCAAAGAGGGCAATATAGCCCCCTTTTCCATTGTATACTTTAGGAAAAATGGCTTTAAAACTTGACAATTTTTCATCACTATAAAATAAAAAAGGAAATTCACTTAAGGCTATAGCAAACACTGAACGTGGAAAGAAAACAAGAACTCTTAACTTTCACCATCAATGCTATATCAAGATCTAAAAGACAAGGAAGAGGCAATGAGTAAAAAAAGTACAGTGCATTTGTGGCTATGAGTTTACAAAAACATTGTCATCTATTTCTAATTGTACTATTATTATTCACCAGGATAATTTTCCCTTGACTTCCAGGCTCCGATTTTTTTTTTTTTAAGTTTTCAAGTGTTACAATTTTATGGACTTTCCTGGCAGAGTGGAAAAGGCAAAATGAAAGTCAGATCAAATTCCTGTAGGTGAGATTAAGACTAAAATTTTTACAAAGGATAAAATTATCTTTAAGAGGACACTGACCGATTTTGTGATGATATGGATTGCTTTCTCATACAAAATATTTTCGAGAAAGCCTTCTGGAAATGCTTGTGACACAATGGATACAGAAAAGGATTGACAAAGGAATTGAGCCATTGAAGCCAAAACGTGATTTCATACGCAAATATTTGAGGACGCTGGTCTAGTGGGTAAACTGAACGAATGATTGTGAACAGGGAATAGGGAGCCCAGCAAAAGGCAAAAACACCTAAGAGAATGGCCAGTGACTTGGCTAATTTCCTGGCTCTGAGCAGTTCAATATGTTCCCTTTGGTGAAAACATAGGGAATCAGAATGGGTGAGGGAAGCCATTTTGGAAGCAATTATACTGCCATTCATCTGGGCTCTTAAAGAGAACAAGAGACTGCTCTTTCTTTCATGTCTTTTCAAAGGAGTAGATGGTACTGTTTCCTTCAGTTCAGGAAGAGATGTTCTTGAAAACAGTCCACCCCTGAGTGAGGATCCACAGTTACTGGGAGACACAGGAGAAGGGAGTGTGGGCTGGCTTTGCCACCGGCTGAGATTGCCACGCTTCCACAGGCTCCAGTAAATGTACATGTTGAAATAGGCCACTGCGAAGACTGGGACCAGGAATTCAAAGAAAGACGAGATGGCAAGGACGTACCATATGGTAAAGAATCCAGGTTCACAAGCCTTCTTCTCCTCCAAGACTCTCCAACTGGAATTCTTCCAAGACTCTGAAATTAGAATTATTGGCCCATGCACTAAGAAGGCCAGTACCCAGACAGCCACCATCTGAGCCACGATCTTCAAGATCCCGGTGTGTCGAGCTCTGTAAGATACCTAAAAGAGACCAAATAAATTATTTCAATATAACGAACATATGTCGGTTGCAGAAGGCATATCACAGGCCCTTGGGAGTTTCAGGGCTATGCAAGAGGTAGGGAAGCTGCCTGGCGCTGGGTCACATGATATGGGCCAGGACAGAGGGTTCAATTTCTGATGCAGACTTTCTCCATGACCTTCCAGACGGAATCTGTAATCCTCAAGGTTAAACCTCTGACATTCTAGAAAATGTTAAGATCAGTATCTAAAATAAGAATGCGATGTTTCCGACTCCGCAGACGCTAATCTGAATGGGAAAACAGCTGAAACGGGGTGCCCCTTTTCACAGTGTTTCACGATCTGCCAACTGGGTCATGATCGGCATTTTTCTTTGAATGAAATAGAGCGCTCAGTGTCAGAGTGCCTCACAATTGTAAGGGTATGTACTGTTTGATGGAACTTTGGCTTTGGGAATGTAGATATACATAGAGAGAGAGAGAGAAACGCATGTACTGAACTCCACTATCGAATGTGTTTCTCCCACGGTCAAACAAGTTTGAAAGCCACTGGCTTTCTTGATTCTAATATTCAGGAAGAATCTACTCTGTAGTTTATCCTGAGATTTCAAGGTGGCCTCAAAAAGAGAGAATTCTTGGGCGCCTGGGTGGCTCAGATGGTTAAGCGTCTGCCTTCGGCTCAGGTCATGGTCCCAGGGTCCTGGGATCGAGTCCCGCATCGGGCTCCCTGCTCCTTGGGAGCCTGCTTCTCCCTCTGCCTCTCTCTCTCTGTCTCTCATGAATAAATAAATAAAATCTTTAAAAATATATATAAATAAATTTTAAAAAAAAAGAGAGAATTCTTACATTGCTCCCAAGAAGATGACCCCCACCCCCCAAAAAAGTCTAAACCTGCTATAGAGAAATAGCATAATGTTCTTGAGCATTACCAAATCATTTCTTTCTATAAATATTTCCACTCAACAAAAATGGTGCCAACGCTGTCGTGGTCAGCCACTTTGAGAGACACAGCCATGGCAAGTACCACAGTCTTTTTTAAAGAGTAAAGAATGTTCTAGGTCTGCTTGGTCACGAAGCCTGGCTTCTATAAGGGAAAATGAGATTCTAGGAGTAAGGATTGCTCTCAGTTCTCAGGACCCATGATCTTCAATAGATCCTGAAATCTTTAAAAATATCATCTATAAGAAACCTAAAAGGTCACCCACCCTATATGAGGGATGAACACATGAACCAAGAATTTTTTTAAGGGGATCTGGAACAGACAAAGTCCCTAAGCTTCTTTTAGGTCAGTAAGGTTCCTTCCAGCTCATATGTTCCATATTTCTCTGATTTCCTCACTCAAGGAAAAGGAAATGATTTCCCCCATGAAACTGGAACGTGCCTCTCTTTCCACCATCTCTCATGTACTATTTTCTCTGTGAGTTTCTAAATCTTGTGCTACGGTGTTTTCTCATTTTTATTAAAAAGTACAACAATGTTCAGCCCTGTCATTCTTTGATGGATTGTGCAGGCTGGGAAGGGCTCACCGACTGGCTGGAGGTAAGAGGAAGAAGGCTTTAAAAAAAAGTTATTTTTAAAAACGCAGGGAAGTGGGGGTTTTTCCCCCCAAATTACTGATATTTCTGAGGCTAAGCTAAAATGCATATGGTGCTGACCACAAGTTCCCATATACAATATGCTTTTTTGCCTTCTGCTTCTCATGCCGCTAATTAATACATCTCTTGCACTAAATCTAATGATTATGAAGATGGTAACAATACCCAGATGGTCATAAAACTGCATTTAGTTTTTTAATTGCTCTGTTCAGCCTTTGTAATGATGTGATGCAATATGCTGGAAAGTGATCTCTTTTCTATTATGCATAAGGTCAAATGAGATAACGGACATCCAAGGGAATTGAAAAGATGATGCCCATGTCTTCATCTTTGGGTAGCATTTTTGACAGATAGCTCAAGCATTGCTTGAATCCAGGCCCAAGCCAGCTGGAGTGGCCTTCCTGACATCAATCAATGGCCCAGTACTCCACCCATGACAGAATATGTTCGTTATTCAGAATATTGCTTCTTATCCTGTTTCCTTTCTGGCCGCAATAAAATACCAAAACACTCTGTCAATCGGGTTTCTTTTATAAGGCAGAGCAACCCCCAGAACTTGCTGGTGTTAATAATGAGATGGCATTGCAGAGCCATCCTAAGTGCCTGTTGCAGGTTGAATTGTGTCCTCCAGAGACAGGTTGAAGTCCTAAGTCCCAGTACCTGCGTACATGACCTCATTTGCAAGTAGGGTCTTTGCAGATATAATCAAGTTAAGATAAGGTCATATTCAATGAGCCCTAATCCAATATGACTGGTGTCCTTATAAGAAAGACACAAACACACAGGGAGAACACCCTGTGTCAATGGAAGCAGAGACTGTAGCAACACAAGCCAAGGACCGCCAAGGAATGCCAAGGATGGCTGATAATATTAGAAGCTAAGAGAAAGGCATGGAACAGGCAGCCCTAGAGCCCTCAGAGAGAGCATCGCCCTGCCTCTGCCTTGATTTGGGACTTCAGGTCTCCAAACATTAAATGTATTCCAGAGAATAAGTTTCTGTGGTCTTAAACCACCCAATGTGCAGTACTTAATTACAGCAGTCCTAGGAATCTAGCCACCCCCCAGCAACCATATTTCTCATGGTCTTGATTTTATTCTCAAGCTTCCTTCTTCATCTTCAGGTAAAAAAAAAAAAAAAAATACTCTTTCCACTTACTATCTTAATTCTGCATACATTTGAATTCCTACTCCTTCCAACTACCCTGTGCTACTTTCCCCCACCCCCTCTTGCTTCAGCCACACGGAAATCTGCCTCTCCAGAAAATGTGTCTGAGCACTGTAATCACACACTGCCGTCAGTATTGGGCCTTCCTTTTCCAAATTATTGTCAGATTTCCATTTCCCAGGCCCAGCCCATGACCCTGACTTATCATACTGTCTCTCCACGTTGAACTACAGCAAGAGCTCGGCTTCCCCACAACCACTTCCTACGAGCTTCAGTGGTCTTTGAGGGCTTCCTGGCTCACGCTGCTGCATTTGAACTCTTCGCCAACAAAGGCCCAAGAGCTGCCTGAGCGCCCCTTGCTAGCATCCATGCACTGAGGTGTGGAGCTCTTGTTACACACTTGACTCCGTGCTTACGTACTGAGGCTCTTGGATCCAGCCAACCCAGCCCTCACCAAATTTAGAGCCTGCGTGGCCAGGGGAATTCCTCAGGGCAAGACTAGGAAACGAACGCACTCATTTTCTCTCTGGACATCAGTCCTCATGTCTTTGTGACTTCTACACACTTTTCCTAACTGTACAAACTCTCTCTTACCTTTGCACACAACTGAGGTAGACCCAAGGGCTCGGACATCCAGCAAAGGGATGTCCTAGCGAACACTAACTAGGAACATCCAGTGAAGACTAAAAAGAAATGCTAACCCAGAAAAAAAAGGAAATGTTTCAGCACAAATGGGAAAGATTATGAATTAGAGCACTCTTTTTCGAACATTTTGATGAACTCAAACTAAGAAATACATTTTATGTCATCACTAAGTGCACAGACAGAAGTACTCATAAAATAATACTTATATTTATTATGTACCTGGTACTCTGATATTTTATACTCTATTTTTATTCTGTTTTACTATGGTTTTTTCTGTATTTTTTCATTTTAAAAAAAAGGTGGTCACAACCCACTGAACTGACTTCATGACTCAATAATGGATCACAAGCTGCAATTTGAAAACCATGAGCTTATAGGCATCTGAATTGCTCATCCAAGCTGATCTGCACTCTCTCCATAGTTTGTCTAGTACCAACTGCAGTGGACTCTGGTGCCAATGACGTACCCGAGGCCAAGTGTCTGGATGTCCCAACACATTCTTTCCCCCCTTCTTTCTGACAGTACGGCAGCTCAGCTAGAGACCACATTTCCCAGCTTTTGTTGCAGTGAGATGGGAGACCATGTGACTAAATGTCACCAGTAAAATGTGAGTGGAAATGATTGTACGATTCTGCACTACTTGGTTAAAAGAAAATCCCTTGCCCTGGACTTCTGCCCTTTACCCATCCTTTCTAGAACCTGGAGTGGCAGCAACCTGGCCTTGACCATGCAGAGGAGAATAATGACCTAGAGCAGGGGTCAGCAAACTACTGTCCATGGAACAAATGTGGCCCACCACCTGTTTGGATAAATACATTTTTACTGGAACACAATGAATATCATTCCTTTTTTCTTTAACATATTATGTATGACTCTTTTTGTGTCATAATGGCAGATTTGAGCAGCTGCAACAGAGACCATAGGTTCCTTTATAGAAAAAGTTTGCTGACCCCTGCCCTAGAAGGTGCAGAACCACCCTGTTAGCCTAGGTCCCTGGATGAGTTCCTGGAGAAAAGGCTTTCCTGGAATGTTCTGTGAGAGGAAAATAAATTTCTTACTTGAGCCTCATCTTTGTTCCTGCAGTTGATCCTTGCCTTCTGCAATATACCCTCCCAAGCCTTCTGCTCCAAGCTGCTCAGTCCTCCCAAGCCAAAGCTGTCACTGGCCTCTCAACATCTCCAACACCACACCTAGTCCATGGTACTGAGCCCATCTGTTTCTGGATCTGTCTCCACATTAGCCTATTATGCTCCTCAAAAGTGGAGACTGATGTTTCATTTCTATATCCCAGCACTTAGCAAAATCCCTTGCACACAGTCGCATCCCCCAAAGATGTGGGCCCTGGGACTCAGGAGTGAAGGAGGTTTCCCATCTAGGTCTCGAAGACTGCAGATTACTGCCCCATACTGACACCTTCTGTCTTTACTTGTATCTGCCTTGTTTCTCCCCTTGTTTTATTGCTGATAAATTTAGCTTGCTTAAGAACTGTCACTAACTTGTTGAAACCAAGATTCCAAATCTTGGGTCAATTCAGACTTTCTTGGCATGGATCCTACACTGGCACTGGGACTTGATCTCCCAGGCTGGTCCCACTGTCTAACCTATAGCTTCTCTGTATACTGTCTTTTCTCCTTTGGCCATTCAAAATTGATTTTCTCATGACATTCAAAAGTCTGGGCATCTTTCTACTTGCCCACCAGGTCCCACCTGAGGAAAATATTCAGGTCTTAGTTTGTGTAAGAATGGACTTGATAAGTCTACTGTGACTCACACGTATATCCAATCTACTGTGGACTCAGTATACCACTTTCGACAACTTGCCTTGGATTTTCTTGGACGGCCTTCCCATGCTAGTGGCACGTAGGGGAGTGAGTGACTTAGCCAAATCACACACAGAAATTGTTCACTAAGGGCCAATGAAAACATAGTGCCAAATAACAGAAGGATAATGAGGCTCCTCTAAGGTTTGCCAACTAAACAAAAAATTACACTTAAAAAAATTTCTGCTTGGGGATGCAAAATGTACAAGTATGTCATCTTCTAAAGAAGGTGAATGAATGTTTTGACTTACAGCATTCGAGACTGACTGGTATCGATCATAGCTGATGAGAACAATGTTATACACAGATGCTGTACACAAAAGATAGTCAACAATGAGCCAAAATGCACAGAGTCCATTTCCAAAGTCCCAATCAAACAGCAAGTGAGGGATGTACAAAGGGATGGAGACCATACCTGTATAAGGAAAAAATAAGGCAAAAAAAAAAAAGCGCACATCAATGAATACAAAGAGACAGAGGCATACAACACAATGACATATCTGAATTGACCCAAAGTGGCTTGATTATAATTTAGAAATTCATTGTGTTTCATCGAAAAAACTCAGGACTGATTTCCTACACATTCTTTAAATACCATTTTTACAATGGCTGTCATACGTATCCTATGTTTCCTTATTACTTTCCAAATTAGGCTCAGGTCCTGACCCACATTTCGAAACATATACGGCACAAGTCATCTTTTTTTTTCTTTTTTTTCTTTAAATTCTATTAGCCAACATATAATACATCATTAGTTTTTCATGCAATGTTCAATGATTCACTAGTTGCGTATAACATCCAGTGCTCATCACATCACATACCCTCCTTAATGCCCTTCACCCAATTACCCCATCCCCCCAACCACCTCCCTTCCCATTCCTCAGTTTGTTTCCCGGCGTCAAGGGTCTCTCTTCTTTTGTTCCCCTCTCTGATTTCTTCGCATTCAGTTTTCCCTCCCTTTCTCCATGACCCTTGGCGCTATTCCTTATATTCCACATATGAGTGAAACCATATGATAATTATCTTTCTCTGATTGAACAAGTCATCTTTATGTCCATAATCCAACCCAGACAGGATGGGCCAGCCTTCCCCCAAACACAACCCACATTTTCACATGTCCTTTGCCAACAACATTCTTTCTTCCTAGAATAGCCTCCTCTCTTCCACTGAGAAGTCTAATTCCTTCTCGTTCTTCATTCAGTTCACAAAAAGGACTTCCTCTTTGTTATCTTTCTTGGAACTTCTTTGGCCGAAGTGACCCCTTCTCACTTGCACAGTGCTGGTACTTTGCTCTTCCCTTCCTCTCTCATGTATAAATACATTCTACTTTGCATCTCTGTCATCTTTTCACTTGTTTCTCCTGAGGGCTGAAACTGTATTGCAAGTTGATCTTTGTATTTTTCACAACATTGAGAGTTGACCAATGGCTTCCACATTTAACTGAAATAAATTAGTAACAGCTGATATGTGTTGTGCAGTTACCACATGCCAGACATTGGGCTATGTCTACTGCATATGTCACCTCATTTAATGTTCATAGAAACTGTCTGAGGTAGAAATCATACTGACTTAGCCGATAAAGAACCTATAGCTCAAAACGGAGGTGTAATCGCCCAGGGTTCACTCAGCTAGTAAGTGGAAGATTGGCTTTGAAACCAGGCAGTGTGATTTCAGGACTCCTGACTTGAACCACTACACTGCACTAACTAAACAAATGTGTAAGTGGTTCAGCTCTGCACAGAAATTGCTTAATTATGAAAAATGACTAAACTGAGCTCCCTTTCCTTTAGTTTTGTTGGAGTTTTTCATTGTATTGACATTTCAGACAGGTGACACTACTCACTGAATATATAACCTATTAAGAGGAAGCTCAGTGAGGGGGCGCCTGGGTGGCTCAGTCGTTAAGCATCTGCCCTCAGCTCAGGTCATGATCCCAGGGTCCTGGGATCGAGCCCCGCATCGGGCTCCCTACTTGGTGGAGAGCCTGCTTCTCCCTCTCCCTCTGCTGCTCTCCCTGCTTGTGCTCTCTCACTCTCTCTGTCAAATAAATAAAATCTTAAAAAAAAAAAAAGAGGAAGCTCAGTGAGAATCTTCATATTTTATCAGGCACTTGGCAAGACTTCCTATTTTCATGTGAAAATCAAGTTAGCCTATCATGAAGAACAATAGTAAAGGCAAAAGAAAGGAGAAGGAGGGGCGCCTGCGTGGCTCAGATGGTTAAGCGTCTGCCTTCGCTCAGGTCGTGATCCCAGGGTCCTGGGATCGAGCCCCACATAGGGCTCCTGGCTCAGCAGGGAGCCTGCTTCTCCCTCTCTCTCTGCCTCTCCCCCGCTCATGCTCTCTCTCTGTATCTGTGTCTCAAATGAATAAATAAAATCTTAAAAAAAAAAAAAGAAAGAAAGAAAGAAAGAAAGGAGAAGGAAAGGGAAGGATGAAGGAAACCCTGCATTCTCCCAAAACCAGATGACATGAGGATATAACCAATGAGGTGCGGTTTCAGCACCAGTGAAAGGGAATGCAGACTCTGGTGTTCTGTACCTAAGTTCACATACAAAGATGAGAGACAAGGCATCATTGAGATAGAAGAGTTGTGTGGTCAGTTCTTATATGTAGTTCAAATTGCCTTCTTGTTTCATGCTTTGATTATATTTTTAATGATAACCAAGCTTCCTTATGGGGCCTTCCATCTCAAGGAGGGGGTGCACATATGCACACGCATGTGTACACACGCCTGTGATATAAAATAGGTAAATAAATAAGATAAAGTATCTGAGATAAATCACCTGAGATAAGTCAAAGTATCTTCAAAACAGATATATGTATCATATTTTGGCCCAGAGTTGGGGCTTTGGTCCAGTATTCCCAACATGAGTATTTTACACACACACACACACGCTGATTTTCTCCACAGAATGACAAAAGGCTCAACACCAGTAATCATTTGCATTACAGTCACCAGTCTATTTAAACATTAAAGAGAGGGTATGAGTTCAACAATCTTGTCCACACATTTTCTGAATTAGATGAAAGAGGAAGGGTGTGTCTGGGTGTGTTCAAAATTTTAGGAGCTGCTTGAGATAGCAGTTTAAAACAGGCTGTAGTCCTATTCTTTTGCCTTTTTTTTTTCCTTAAGGTTTTATTTGTTTATCTGAGGGAGAGAGTGTGAGAGAGAGAGCACGAGACGGGGGGGGGGGGGGGGGGGGGGGTCAGAGGGAGAAGCAGATGCCCCGCTGAGCAGGGAGCCCTATGCGGGCTCCAGGATCATGACCTGAGCGAAAGGCAGCAGTTTAACGGCTTAACTGGCTGAATCACCCAGGCGCCCCCCATTCCTTTGGCTTTAATGAAACTCTGCTGTCACCTCATGTTCTACATGGTATTTTAGCACAAATGTCATGCTCAGATCCTCTGTCTTGTTGAGTGGTGGAGATGTTTGTGGCTTATTCCAAAGGAATTTCAAAAACTGAATCAGAAATATTTCTAGGATATACCCACTCTGAAGTGTTTCTATAACTTCCACTCTAGAATCATGCTTCTGGGTCAAACGGACTTGAGAAGTAAAACTAAGAGCTAGTTTCTTGAAAAGAGCAATAAGCCTTTGGCATGACAGATTAAGGAGGTTGGGGGTGGAGAGTAAGAGAAAACAAATTATATTAAGAGAAGGCAGTGAAGGGGCACCTGGGTGGCTCAGTCAGTTAAGCATCTGCCTTTGGCTCAGGTCATGATCCCAGGGTCCTGGGATCGAGTCCCACATCGGGCTCCCTGCTCCACGGGGAGCCTGTTTCTCCCTCTCCCTTTGCCTCTCCCCCTGCATGTGTTCTCTCTCGCTCTCTCTCACTATCTGTCTCTATCAAATAAATAAATAAAATCTTTAAAAAAAATTTTAAAAAGAGAGAAGGCAGTGAAGAAATAAAAACAAGGAGGTAAAGGAACGAGGGGAGGAGAGAAGAAAAAAGGATGAAAAGCCCTGTGAGAACCCAGGCCACTTGCTCACTCCAGCCTGCCCCACCCAACCTTTCCTGTCGCACCTCCTGCTACTCCCTCTGCCCCTCACTCCCTCTACCCCAGTTCCTCTAGCCTCAAATACACCACACTTGCACCCCTCAGATCCTTGCACTTTCCTTAGCAGGAAATGCCCTTCCCTCAGAGAGCTCCTCCTATTCACTCTGATGTGTCCTGACCAATGAGCCCTACCCCTGACATTTAAAGGGCAACCTCCATCTCCAGCACCCTTTCTCTCCCTCTTCCCTGCTGGTTTTCTCACTAGCAACGACCATAGTCTAAAATGCTATATAATTTTATTCATTTATTTATATTTATTATGTGTCTTCCCACCCCACCCTCCCCAGTAGAAATAAAAGCACCATGAGGCCTGGGAATTTTGTCCCTATTTTCATTGCTCTGTCCCCACCACCTCAAAGAGTGTCTGCTTCAAAATAAACCAGTATTGGATGAATGAATAGATGAGAATGGGAAAGCCCAGTTTGCTTGAAAATTACCACCAGTCTGGTATTGCCCTTTCTTTCCAAAGCCAGCTGAGAAGCTACATCTTCCATGAGAAAATGACAATCAAAAGTTGGGGAGGATGCCAAAAGCCCCAGTGAATTCGTTGGGCCAACAGGGGAATGTGCGGATAATGGTGAGTGCATAGAGGGTGTTATGGACTGAATGTTTGTGTCCCCCTGAAATTCATATGTTGAAGCCCTACCCCCCAGGGTGGCTGCACTTAGAGATAGGGCCTACAAGGACGTAAAGTTAAATGAGTCATAAGGATGGAACCCTAACCCGACAGGATTAGTGTCCTTATAAGAAGAAACACCGGCGAGCTTGCTTGCTCGCTCCCTCCATGCACACTCAGAGGAAAGGCCGCATGAGAACACGTGGAGAAGGCAGCCGCCTACAAATCAGGAAGAGAGTGCTCACCAGGAACCAAATCTGCTGGCACCTTGATCTGGGACTTCTCAGCCTGCAGAACCACGAGAAAGTCAATTGCCATTAAGTCACCCAGACTGGGATATTTTCTTATGGCAGCCCAAGCTAACCAACGGGGAAAAGAAGAGTCCTGAACTGAGGCATGAGGGGACTAAAGATAAACTTTGCCCTCTTGAAAACATGGTTCAGACTCTGTCAGCCCCAACCACCTTTGTCCTTGCAGATCCTGCCTGGCCATCTGTCACATGGTCCTGTAGGCCAAAAATGCCCACACACGTGTAGATGTGAAGAAGGGACCCATAGACAAAACATTAGTCATGTGATACTAATTTTATAGATATCCATATACAGAGATAGTTGGGGTTTTTTTAATAGTATGCAGATGACTTTTTTTTTTTTTGGAATAGTGTGCAGATGACATATATTTATATCACTGTAGCTGGTACTGGAATTTCTCCTCGATAAAACTTTGCTGTCCAACCCTACATTCAGCCTGGGATGTCACTCAGGTGCCACAAATTTAGATTTTCGATTAGAGGCCAGTTTTAAAACCTGTGAGAAGAGAGCGTTCAGCTAAAAGCCCCAATACCTAGTACATGTGATGCTCCAGGCCATTGCCACATGGTTCTGGAGCTCGAGGTCTCCTGAGCAAAACATGAAGAATGGCTGCCATACAATTACAGGAAAACTCTCATGAGTTCTGCCCTGGCCCAGAACCACTGTCACGAGCCTACAGGCTCAGAACCAAAAAGCCCACTTCTGAGCATGGCTAAGGAAAAAGGACAGCCTCAACACAAAACTCTAATCTTGTGACAGAAAGTTCTCAGAGACTGCCCTGATTCTGATAGCATTGTGGCAAATATTGTTAAGTAAGTACACCTCTGGATGACGCTGGCAGGGGGCAGGGGAAATGTGAAGGAGGAGACTGGCAGATTGAGAGAGATTCTGGCTTATGTTCGATTTCTCTCATCAGCAGCAAAGCCATTTTCTTTTTCCATCCGCCTGCTGGTGGCAGGGGACCCCCATCTACATCTGCAGGAACATTTCCCCGAGACACATCACATCTTTAAACTGTGGTGCCCAGGGTGCCTGAGTGGCTCAGATGGTTAAGCGTCTGCCTACGGCTCAGGTCATGATCCCAGGGTCCTGGGATCGAGTCCCGCATTGGGCTCTCTGCTCCTTGGGAGCCTGCTTCTCCCTCTGCCTCTCTCTCTCTCTCTGTCTCTCATGAATAAATAAATAAAAAATAAATAAAAATAAAAATAAAAAAATAAACTGTGGTGCCCAAGCCCATGATCATGGGGCCTGCCCTGGTGCTTGCATTAGGCCACATGAGGAACCACTCTGTTCTTATCTAGTACCATCTTTGTTCAAAAGCTTCAGGCCTCAGGCTCCCTCTGCTGGGTATAGTTGTATCCCAGCCCTCCCCACCAGCACTCCCTTTGAGTTAGTCAAAATACAGAATCGACTGTAAGTCCTAAGTATTATCTAAAAGTTGTACAGTTCTGTGAAGAAGGCAAAGAGGGTAAGTATATTTATAGCAGAATATTCTCTCTGTTCACACATGAATATAGTCATATAGTTTTACCTGTTTCTGTGATTATAGAGAATGATGTAGAAGGATCTACCTCAAGTTGTTAATGTGAGTTACCTGGAGTTACCAATTGTGCCATAGTTTTCTTGTCTCACTTAATCTTTATCTTATTAATCTTAATAAGAACCTAATCTTTATCTCATTTTTCTCTTTCTCCTGCCCAAACCACCCCCCTTGCAGCTCTGCCTCCTTCCCCAACTTCCTGTCCACTGTCCCCACAGTAGCTCAGAGCCTTAACATATGACTTGTGCCTAGACTGCTGCAGGAATTTTTTTTTTAAGATTTTATTTATTCATTTGAGACACAGAGATACAGAGGGAGAGAGAGCATGAGCAGGGGGAGAGGCAGAGGGAGAGGGAGAAGCAGGCTCCCCGCTGAGCCAGGAGCCCTATGTGGGGCTCGATCCCAGGACCCTGGGATCATGGAAGGCAGACGCTTAACCATCTGAGCCACCCAGGCACCCCTGCAGGATTGTTTCTGAAGCCAAGCGGCTGCCTGCTCCAGCTTCTCTCACCTGCTACGTCCCCATTAATGCCTCTAAGGTAAAGGTTCGATCCATCGGATCTCTCACCTACTTTAAAAATCCAGATCTCCACATTGGCTGTTGAGTAACCTCCAATCCAGACACACTAGTATTCAAGGGCCTTCATTATATAGATTCTAACTACTTCAACTTTATCCCCTACTGATCCCATACAGCCAGCCAGGAGCTCACATTTAGGAAGATGTACACAATGATTTTCTACCAGCATGTCTTTGCTGATTCTTGGAATACTCCTCTCCATCTCCGCCTATGGAAATTCTACCCATCCTTTGAAGTTCATTTCAGATGCTGCTACCCATTAACCAAAGGTGCTCTCTCCTTCCTCTGAGTACCCATAGCACTTGGTATGTCTCTGTGGTTCTCACATCATACTCTATACTGTTAAAATCACTTGTGAGCTTCTCTTACTCACTCTTCTACATTGAAAGCTTACCAAAGAAAGAACCTAACTTAGTCTTCTATGTATCTCATTATCTAATCATACTTGAGTACTTAATAGTCCTTACCATGATAGGGGTAATCTACTATCATTTGTGACCTTGGTTTGAGTTGACACCTATCTGCAGAGAAATCAAAAGAGAAGAGGCCTAACATTTGTTGAGCAACCCTATGTTCCAGGCAATAAAATACGTATTTCACAAGTTTTGTTTCACCGTAAAATAAATGAAAGCATTTATGTAGCTGTAGACAATGACAAATTAAATTATACTAGAAGGTCCTATAAAGCAGTATCATCAACTGACATTTCTACACATACTTATAAACCTAAACATACAAGGAAAATAGCCTCAGAAACAAGTAACTCTTAGACTAAAGCAATTTCAGAACTATTCTGGACTTATTTTTATTCTACAAAAAGAAAATAAACTGTTGTCAAACAAAAATTCTCCTACAAGCCTGATTTACACATATAAACTCTTCCCCTAAAGTGCCATATAGCCTCCCCAGAACTTTAATTCTTAAAACTTTATGTTTTAGGGGCGCCTGGGTGGCTCAGTTGGTTAAGCGACTGCCTTCGGCTCAGGTCATGATCCTGGAGTCCCGGGGATCGAGTCCCACATCGGGCTCCCTGCTCGGCAGGGGGTCTGCTTCTCCCTCTGACCCTCCCCCCTCTCATGTACTCCCTCTCTCTCTCAAATAAAAATAAATAAAATCTTTAAAAAAAAAAAAAAAAAACTTTGTTTTTAACATCCCCAATTCTATACAGTCCCTTGAAATAACAAAAGCTTATTTAAAAAAAAGAAAAAGAAAGCTAATTTTAAGGTCTTAGAAATAGATTATAATTGGAAAAGATGATCTGAAATAAAGATACGTAACTTACCAACAAAGAAGTCAGCAATGGCCAAGTTAAGGAAAAAGTAATTACTTCGATGTCTAAGCTTTTTGTCCACCACGAAAGCTAGAATGACCACAGCATTTCCCAGCATTATAGCAAAAGCTAGTAAGCCCATTAAAAACGCTAGAGTAATGCGAGGGCTTAGCGGCAAAGTGGGAGCCCTCGTGCTGTTGGTGGTCGACATCACGGCAACTGATGAAGACATTAACCCAGCGAGACAATTCTGACAAGTATGTTTTCCAGTCGGATACCTAATATATCTAGCCTCCTGCTCATGACAGTATTTTTCAAAATCTAATGCTGATTTCACCGTACTTCCTGATTCTTGATAAAGCAATCTTGTGATAACAGTTTCCCTTTAACTGACACTGAAAAAGTATTTTCCCAAAGCTCGTGAGATGTTCTGTTGTAAACATTTGAATGTGATTTAACCATTCCCCCTTAATAGAGCAAGCAATATTACATAATATATGTGAAATATAATTGATTCGGTGGAAAGGTGAGAAATTGGGCTCCCATGAGATTTATTTTTTCTTTTTTTTTTTTTTAAGATTTTATTTATTTATTTGAGACAGAGAGAATGAGATACAGAGAGCATGAGAGGGAGGAGGGTCAGAGGGAGAAGCAGACTCCCTGCCGAGCACGGAGCCCGATGCGGGACTCGATCCTGGGACTCCAGGATCATGACCTGAGCCGAAGGCAGTCGCTTAACCAACTGAGCCACCCAGGTGCCCAAGATTTATTTTTTCAGCTGTTAGAGATCTAGTTAAAGATTCCCTTCTGACCATGATGGAGTACCACAGGCTGCATTCACCACCCCATCTGACACAAACAAAAAACTGGACAGACTCGGGGTGCCTGGGTGGCTCAGATGGTTGGGCGTCTGCCTTCGGCTCAGGTCATGATCCCAGGGTCCTGGGATCGAGTCCCGCATTGGGCTCCCTGCTAGGCGGGGAGACTGCTTCCCCTCTGCCTCTGCCTCTCTCTCTCTCTCTCTGACTCTCATGAATAAATAAATAAAACATTAAAAAAAAAACTGGACAGACTATTTGAAACAATGGTTTTCAAGGCACTGGACATCAGGCAGTGAAGGACAGTGATCCCTGAGTAAAGGGGAGAAAACGAGGTCAGCTCTGCAGTTGTCCCCGCTTACTGTCTTTTGTGAGTTTCCAGGGCACAGAGCAGAGAGTGGGCATCCGGGAGGAGCCCCAGCAGATTTCCTGCTGGGGAAGATGGGGAGATGAAGGAGATGGGGAGATGAAGCTGAGAGTTGGGAAGTACCAGGCAGGACTCTGCTGCAGAGCTGCCACATAATATATATATTTTAACTGTACAGAAGCCGAAGTCTTGCGTGTAAGATGGTGCTTGTGATTGTTTTAAAAATGTAGCTGATAAAAATAAAATACACATTACATAGAGAGATTTGACTTAAGGTTGATTTGATTATTTTTCATTCATGGCATGCAAATTAATGATAATGATCTTTTTTAAAACTCCAAATGATTGTCCCTATTTGTCACTCTCCTTAATCTTTATTCTTCTTTGCATTCACTCATTATCAATTCACTAACAAGAGGCATTAGGAATTTTTACATTCTTCCCAAAGTTACAAAGTCCCTTTCCAAACTAGCCAGTTTTTATGCTTAGTCAATTTTGAAGGCCTTTCTATTAAAAAAGCAAGGCAGCCCTGGTATAATGTAATTTCTTGATTCCAGGCTCTAAACTGGAGGCGCTAGAAAGCATTCAGTGTGAAAGGGGAGGGAAAGAAAGGCTGATAAATACATTGCTGACTGGGTCTGTAGTAGAAGATAAGGTACAAAAGTAAACAAGATGACTGTGAGCAAAGATTGTGAAGGGACACGGAGTGGGTTGGCCCAGAAGGTAAACAAGGATTTATTTTATGGACAGAGCATGGTGATCTGGACTATTTTTTGTGTGTGTAATTTCATGTGGGAAGAGCAAGCAATCCAACAGAATTGGAGGTCTTGCCTTGTGGTCTTAGGTTGTGGGGAATTGCCTTCACAGAAGGGAACTGCCAGGTGGGTAACATTTGGGAAAAAGAAGAATGACAAATCATGTTGGGCTACATTTCATTCTCTTACCTTGTGTGAACATAGAGTGGACTAAGTGTGTAGCTCAGAATTCCATTCTAGGTACTCTATTTGAATTTATTCAAATTTACTGGTGTCAAGTTGCTATAATTTATGTGGCAGGGCACTTCCTTTTCTATCACTCCTGATGTATGTCTAACTATTCTTTTTTAAGTATTTATGATTCTTTAAAAATTCAAGTTCTGTAAATAAACATAAATATAAAAAAATAAATCCTGGGGCACCTGGGGGCTCAGTCAGTTAAGTGACTGACGTGGTGTTGGCTCGGGTCGTGATCTTGGGGTCGTGAAATTGAGTCCCACATCAGGCTCCACGCTTAGCGCAGTCTGCTTAGGACTCTCTCTCCCTCTTGCTCTGCCCCTCCCCACTGCTCGCTCTCTCTAAAATAAATAAATAACTAAATCTTTAAAAGATAAATAAATAAATAAATCCTATCAACTGTCTATTATCAGTAATCTTCATAGGCGAGTTGACCATTCAGTAGAACCTATTCACAAAGACTGTTTGATAATCATGGACTTTAACATTCAAAGAATCATGATTAAGCCCTTTTAATCAAGATTGTTAAACATCTAGAGGCTTTTATATATCAATTAGCAGTTTGCTATTAAATAATGAATTTAAAGAACTTATTTTAGGGGCGCCTGGGTGGCTCAGTCGTTAAGCGTCTGCCTTCAGCTCGGGTCATGATCCCAGGGTCCTGGGATCGAGCCCCGCATCGGGCTCCCTGCTCCGCGGGAGGCCTGCTTCTCCCTCTCCCACTCCCCCTGCTTGTGTTCCCTCTCTCACTGTGTCTCTCTCTGTCAAATAAATAAAATAAAATCTTTAAAAAAAAAAATAAAGAAAGAACTTATTTTAGTGGACTGTGACCAGTGATCCAAGGCCTTTTGGCATTATTTAGATCCTTTAACTTAATCCATTAATTATGCTCATATAACTAAGAACAGAAATAAATATCACCCTGCCTCATCTAGTGACTGTGAAGACATGCACATATAAGGCAACTGAACGATGAATTGCAGACTCATCTTGCTAATGTCAAGAGGCACACAGCAAGAGACAACTTTACCCAGCAGAACTCTGCATGCAGGTCCCCAACAGGTCCCCTCTCCTTTAACAAACAAGAGGCTAAAACCATCACCATGAAGAGGTTTTCTAGTAGTTTTAAATTTAGGGATGAAGAGGAAGTAGAAGGACCAGGCTCTTTTCTTTCTGAGGCTATTCTGCATTTTCAATTGGGTTGTTTGTTGTTGAGTTTTAAGACTTCTTTATGGGGGCGCCTGGGTGGCTCAGTCGTTAAGCGTTTGCCTTTGGCTCAGGTCATGATCCCAGGGTCCTGGGATCGAGCCCTGCATCTGGCTCCCTGCTCCGCGGGAAGCTTGCTTCTCCCTCTCCCACTCCCCCTGCTTGTGTTCCCTCTCTCACTGTGTCTCTCTCTGTCAAATAAATAAATAAAATCTTTAAAAAAAAAAAAGACTTCTTATGTATTCTAAATACTAGACCCTTATCGGATACAATTTGCAAACATTTACTCCCATTCTGTGTGTTGTTTTTACTTTCTTAATAACGTCCTTTGAAGCACAGAAGTTTTGTTTTGTTTTGTTTTGTTTTTTAAAGATTTTATTTATTTATTTGACAGAGAGAGAGACAGCGCAAGAGGGAACACAAGCAAGGGGAGTGTAAGAGGGAGAAGCAGGCTTCCCACGGAGCAGGGAGCCCGATGCGGGGCTCGATCCCAGGACCCTGGGATCATGACCTGAGCCGAAGGCAGACGCTTAACGACTGAGCCACCCAGGCGCCCCAAAGCATAGTTTTTAATTTTGATGAATTCCTATTTATTATTTTTAATTGCTCATCCCTTCGGTTTTACATCTAAGAAACCACTATCTAATCCAAGGTCATGAAGATTTACTAGTATGTTTTCTTCTATAAATTTTATAGTTTTGGCTCTTATATTTAGGTCTTTGACACATTTGAGCCAATTTTCATATATGGTGTGAGGTAAGGGTGCAACTTCATTGTTTTGCATGTGGATATCAAGTTGACACTATTTGTTGGAAAGGCTACTTTTTACCCATTGAATTGCCTTGGAATCCTTGTAGAAAATCAACTGACGGGGTGCCTGGGTGGCTCAGTCGTTAAGCGTCTGCCTTCGGCTCAGGTCATGATCCCAGGGTCCTGGGATCGAGCCCTGCATCGGCCTCCCTGCTCCGCGGGAAGCCTGCTTCTCCCTCTCCCATTCCCCCTGCTTGTGTTCCCTTTCTCACTGTGTCTCTTTCTCTGTCAAATAAAGAAATAAAATCTTTAAAAAAAAAAAAAAAAGAAAATCAACTGACCATAAATGTATGGGTTTATTTCTTGATTCTCAATTCTAGTTCATTGATCTTTATGTCTGTTCTTATGCAAGTACAATACTCTTATTTACCATTCAGTTTAACAATTTCTTTCTATCTTAAACATCAAATAAAGTATATATCAAGCTTGTGAAATAGAAATGTAAGGTTCAAGACATGAAATCATTTAAATTCAAGACATAAAATTATTAGGGAAGCCAATATTAAAAAGAAAACTCACCAGCCCTTAAGATCAATATTAAATCACATTTTAGCATTCAAACAATGTAGATTCATTTAAGCTCTTCTAAAAAATTTTTTAGCTTTTTTTTTTTATTCTTATGTTAATCCCCATACATTACATCATTAGTTTTAGATGAAGTGTTCCATGATTCATTGTTTGTGCACAACACCCAGTGCTCCATGCAGAATGTGCCCTCCTCAATACCCACCACCAGGCTAACCCATCCTCCCACCCCCCTCCCCTCTAGAACCCTCAGTTTGTTTTTCAGAGTCCATTGTCTCTCATGGTTCCTCTACCCCTCCGATTTCCCCTGCTTCATTCTTCCCCTCCCGCTACCTTCTCCTTCTTTTTTTTTCTTAACATATATTGCATTATTTGTTTCATCTTCTAAAAATTTTTTTAAAAAGCACAACAGCATAATTGGCAGATAGAGCTGAACAGCGTGATTTTTCAGTCTTAAGTACAGAATTTCGTTTAAAATCTGGTCATTATGATTATATGTAAACAAGCTAGGGAACATAAGCAAACATGGTCTTAGAACTTCTGATTCTACATGTAAGCAGCTTGGAATTCACTACTCCACCCTACTAAGTAAAAAGCTGACCAGACTGAAAAATCAACTCTTGGATGCATA